GTAATTTGTGAACCTTCTCAGAGTTCATGGCTCTTACTGAGAAGGCAGTGTTGGAAGGGGCCTAGGAGACAAAGAGAACTTGGTCACATATGTGGTATCTGAAAAAAATGTCCCGGCTTTTGACAAAGCAACGTAGCATATGCCAACTGGAGGGTGCTGTGTGTTGATTTTGAGACTTGCCTGTTGGGGTGCCACAACTGTCTTGCTGTGCCTGGGACCACATAACCGGCTAGCTCAGGGGCTGTGGGAGCCGGGGCCGTGATGATAGTAGTAACTACTTGGCTGTGAAATGATCAGTATGATTGGTCTGTTGCTCACACTTGGGGAAAAGACTTCTAGACATGGGGAGGCTGTGGCTATCAAAGCGTGTCCTTGCTCGAATGGTGATGTTTCATGATTTAAATAAAATCCTATCGGTGTTTAATTTATTATGGTTGTGTATACATTCACCTCTGAACCAAGCAGTGGGCTATTATTACATTTGGGCATTTTAGAAACTTTTGTGTTTCTTGGAGGTAATTGCTTCATGCTTTCATTTCCTTACATTTCTATAACTGTCCGGCTCTAGACAGACAGACAGATAGACACACACACAGGACCATTCAGGTGGATCAAACGCCTCCCGTTTTACGGTCAAATGGGCAAATATCTTTGATAAGCAGCCAAGGCCTTGTGCTCGGAGGCTTCCCTCCCTGAGTTCTTTGCCCCCCTCCAATCTGACTTGGCAGGACTTGGCTGGCTGGGCTGCATCTGCATTTTCCTTCTGCCTGCTTTTCATCTCACGAAAGTGAACAAATGTGACTGTTGTTTCCTTAATGCTATTCGGAGTTTATAATTGTTATCTGCGGGAAGGAAGGTCCCTTAGGAGCTTGCTCTACGGTGCCAGAAGTGGGCTCCTTCTAACTGCTTCTTAAACAACCTTTTAAATAATTCTATATTCAGACATTAACTTTGCTTCCAATGTAACTCGGTGCCACCAGTTTCTGAGATTTGGAGAGGTTCTGTGTGCAAAGGGCAATACTACTGCTACTATATTCACCCCAAAAGACCTTTTAGTGAGCATTAAATAATATAAAAATATCAAGTGGAAGGTCATGGAAGATGGGGTCACAGAACATTCTACAGCAGACAGAATCTCTGCTGCTCTTCCAGTTAGTCTCAAAGTGTCAGAAGTTAGGTTTCTCAGCCTCTTAGGCCAAAATAAAAGCATTCCTCTAAGTCAGTATTTTTAAAAATGTGACTGAGGACTTCTAACATCATAATCACCCAGGGTGCTTAATAAAAATGTAGATTTCTAGGTCCTATGTTAATCTTCTGGAATCAGACCATGGGGTGGAGGCTAACATTTGCAGACGGTAAGCGCTCCATTAATGTTGCCTATTACTATTAATTGTCTTAGGCTACATAATCGATCAAGAGCCTCTTGATGGGTATTTGGCTTTCCAGGTGCCAGGCTGCAGGAAGGGTTACTGTTTATCTAAACGGGACTGGCATTACCAGTCAGATGCAGTTCCTGACTTGTAAGTCGGTAAACCTGCTTCAGGATGACAAACACAAATTGTTTGGGAGCATGCTGCATGATAGGAAACTGTTGGTTTTCTTGCCCCAGGGTCAATTTGAAAAGGGATTTTGGAATAAAACTTCAGTGCTGAAATTTGGCTGTGCTCTTTACATTTATACTCTGTAAATTCCTGTCAAGAAATCCCTACAATGCACAGCAAAAACGACGCCTTTGCTCTGAGATGACCTTGTCGCTGTTTTCTCTTGCTTCCTCTCACCTGCATTCAGCTGGGCCATATCAAAGGTTTACTTTGTATGACAACAATCTCATAGAACCAGTCACTCCAGACTACACATACCTATTGGAAAGCTTTGTGAAGGTCATCTCATTAGTTTCTGGAGTTGATTTTTACTTTTGCCTTGCGATAAACTCAAGCGCACAGAGAAAGGGTAAGTGGTCTGTTAGATCCATTTAATTCAGAATTGGCTACATTCTTAATTCATTGGCTGTTCTCATCAATCAACAAGGTCTCAGTAAATTTGTTCTAGAGGTTAGGACACTTTTTAAAGGATCCTTTAGCTATTAACATACAAGATATTTCCTAAGAAAAGTCAGTCCAAACAGCTATGATATAAACTACAGAAGAAGATATGGACATTATTCAACATGTTTTTTATCATAATCACCCAGGGTGCTTAATAAAAATGTAGATTTCTAGGTCCTATGTTAATCTTCTGGAATCAGACCATGGGGTGGAGGCTAACATTTGCAGACGGTAAGCGCTCCATTAATGTTGCCTATTACTATTAATTGTCTTAGGCTACATAATCGATCAATAGCCTCTTGATCAAAGCCTCTTGGCTTTCCAGGTGCCAGGCTGCAGGAAGGGTTACTGTTTATCTAAACGGGACTGGCATTACCAGTCAGATGCAGTTCCTGACTTGTAAGTCGGTAAACCTGCTTCAGGATGACAAACACAAATTGTTTGGGAGCATGCTGCATGATAGGAAACTGTTGGTTTTCTTGCCCCAGGGTCAATTTGAAAAGGGATTTTGGAATAAAACTTCAGTGCTGAAATTTGGCTGTGCTCTTTACATTTATACTCTGTAAATTCCTGTCAAGAAATCCCTACAATGCACAGCAAAAACGACGCCTTTGCTCTGAGATGACCTTGTCGCTGTTTTCTCTTGCTTCCTCTCACCTGCATTCAGCTGGGCCATATCAAAGGTTTACTTTGTATGACAACAATCTCATAGAACCAGTCACTCCAGACTACACATACCTATTGGAAAGCTTTGTGAAGGTCATCTCATTAGTTTCTGGAGTTGATTTTTACTTTTGCCTTGCGATAAACTCAAGCGCACAGAGAAAGGGTAAGTGGTCTGTTAGATCCATTTAATTCAGAATTGGCTACATTCTTAATTCATTGGCTGTTCTCATCAATCAACAAGGTCTCAGTAAATTTGTTCTAGAGGTTAGGACACTTTTTAAAGGATCCTTTAGCTATTAACATACAAGATATTTCCTAAGAAAAGTCAGTCCAAACAGCTATGATATAAACTACAGAAGAAGATATGGACATTATTCAACATGTTTTTTAAAATTTCTGACTAAAATAAAACTTGAATCTCTTTAGGGCTTGAGTCAAAAGTTTTGGCTTCGTTCACTGGTTGAGAATTCAAAGTAATTTCTCTTTTGGTCTTATACTTATTTTCTGAATATTGTAAGATTTGAATCACTTGAAATTGAGCTAGTCTGGTCAGGTTTAATTTTTGGAATTATTTAAGCAGGTTGAGTTTATCTGGGACTCAGAAGAGAACATCAACACAACAAAGTTTTCTCTGAGCTCTGAGCACCCGGATTGCTCTGTAGAACTGTTGTTTTGCCCTGAGGTGCAGATTTTCGAATCCTCCATCTCTCCCTTCCTCCCTTCCTTCCCTTCTTCTGTTCTTCTTTTAAATTATCTGGTAGTTATGTCCACTCTTCAAATGGGGAAACTGAAACGCTGGTGAGGTAAGCATTGTGCTCAGTCTTGGTTACACACACCTTCTTGGGGGTGCAGAGAGAGAAATAAAAGGCAGGTTCTCCTTCCATTTCAAGACTACTGAATCTCACCCTACGGGTCCTTTATAAAGCCCTAAATCAGTGATTCACCCCTTGGGGTACCTGAGCCCTTAGGGGGTCTTTGAAGGAAGTGAGAGGAATTAAAAAATTTTTTTCCTTATTCCAAAAAGTTCCACAGAAATTGTACATCTCCCAAAATAAGACTGCATGAATCAACTAGAATGTCATGGTATTTTTGCTTTTGATTAGGGTTAAATTAATTCAGTTTGATAACATTGATTATCATGCTGATCTGAAGCTGTGATTACAGTTATATGTGCCTTAGATGATTAAAAGGTGAAAATAGGTTAATTATGTCTCCAATAAATGCAGTTTATTTGATGGGCAGAATCTTATAAAACCTGAAACTAATCAGAAAAAAAATAAGACAAATTTTGGGAACTCTCTATATATGTAGAATAGGCAGATTACCAAGGCACATAAAACTCTAAAACATACCTATTTCAAACTGCTTCTGGAATCACAAGATTCTGTATATTTGCCCTTCCTAGCTGCCTTAACATAAGCAGTGTAGAGCCCAGTTGTTTTTTCTTATACTTTTTCCATTGATTATGACTACAGTCCATTGACCAGCTAATGCCCATCACTGACAGCTGTTCCATTCTAATTATGTATGTATTGACTTTTCTGATTTCAGCTTAACAGGCTGATATCTGTAGATGCTGCAAGTACATTTAAAAGAAGGTATTTGAAAACAATAACACAGCAATTATATTGAGAAACAAAGAGAAAAGTTTTATCATTCTGCCAAAACTCAGAAGATAGCTTCCCCCGGTGCTAATAACACACAACAGTGGTTAAGGGCAGGTAAGCTAGTCTGGAAAGTGTCAATAGAAGCATACCATACTTTCTGATCTCTTACAAATCATTAAGCTTATCAAAAGACATTTCTCTGAGAAAGTACTGGCCTTGCCTGCCTGAACCAACTCTTCAGGCTGGGGTTTTCATAGTCCTGTCACCATCACTGTGGCATTTGGCGTCACCTTTCTGACTCACCTGGCTCAGCTGCTTTAGACACACAGTCCTGAGTCCACACTGCTGAAGGGCAATGACTGAGATCATTGTTTCCCCAGGGCATGGCCTTTAAAGGTTAAATCAGGGGGGAGACGGGACAGGCTCTGGGCTCAGGAAACATGTGACTTGCTAAGCTGAGGCGGCACCCTGGTTCCAGAGATAGTTCAGGAGTGTTTCTTGGCCCTAAAGGAAGGTCAAACATCAGCCCCCCTGCTGTGTCTAAGCAGGTGCCTGTGTACGCCAAGGTGACACCAGAACTGGCTATCAGTCACGGGTTACTTGTGTGATCATTGCCTGTCTTTTGGAACACATCACACAGAAACCAGAAGAAAGGGACGGGACAGAGCTTGATTTATTCAGGTCTCTCCCATGTAAAGGAGAGGTAGGGTGAATGGTCAAGGAGGACCTCCTAGGCTCTGGCCCACTTTCTGTAACTCTAAGCTTGCTGGAATAGTAAATCCCAAAATAAAGATTGCCCTGGCCCGACGCTTGACCAAGTTGGCGCCAGACAGGTAGCAATTCACCTGTGTGCGGTGAGTCACTGGGGGTGGGCACAGCTAGGCAGAGACAAAGCCCGCGCCTCCCTCGAAGCACATATCTTAACCTCTAGAATAAAAGAAGTTCCACCATGGAAGGTGACTCTTTTCCTTCCGTTTTTTCATGCTACTGTAGAAAAGGATCAGCAAGACACTTGAAGGCATCTGCTCTGGAACCTTTTATCCCGGGGACTTGAAGGGTGAATGATTACAAGATTTCCACTGGGCAATTTCCAGGTTCTCAGATGTGTCTTTAAAGTTCTTAACTCTCTGTTTGTCTTTCATCTTTAACTCTGTTTACCGCAGGAGACGTGCAATTTGGCACCTATGAGCATCCTAAGAAGTATATATTAATAATTCAGCTGTCATTTATGTAGATTTTATGCCAGCCCCCCTTGTTCTAAGCCTGTATTATTTAATCCTCACCTCATGATTACTCTTGTCCTTATTTTACAGATGAAGAAATGGACATTTCTGAGGGGCTGAGTAATTTGCCTAAAGTCATGTAAGTGGGAAAACACGACTCAGGCTGAAGTGCATTTGACTTAGAGTTTATGTTCCTAATCCCTGTGCTATATTGTTTCCCTTTTGTTCAAATGATGAAAAATATGTGCCCTCTGACATGGGAGGAGCATAGTACTAGCCCATCTGCTCTGCCAGAAGACATCCCCGTGGTGGGGAGGAAGGGGCTAAGCTGACTCTCTTGCCAGCTTCCAGTGAAATGGACATATTGAACTCAATACCATTTCCAGGTATTTGGGAAGGCATACACACAGGACAGAACCCACACCGCACAGGAGCACGTTCAAGTGAAGTGACATATGTGAAAGCCATTATAACGTTTGCTCTTGGGGATGGGGAGTCAGAGTGGGGAATCAGCTAACAGGCAACAAATAAATACTGAAGACAGGAGAGGGGACCTCATGGGGGCACCCAATGATGACAATGTGGTGTGAACTGAGAAACACCCTTCTGCATTTCAGCTGCCAGCCTTTCAGGACCCCTGCATCATTTCGGCCATAAAGGAGCTGAGAGTACCAGACAGAGATGCAGTCCCAGCCTTGCAGGCGCTGTCGCCTTATTGGAGGAAGAGTGACAGCAGGAACACGTGGAAGTACGCAAGGTGCGAAGCCAGGGCAGGGAGCACAGGCGTGGGGTCATGTCTACTACGGCAGATCTGGCTGTGAGTGGCTGGGAAAGCATCTCCGAGGAAGGGGGATCCATGCTGGGTTTTGCAGGGAGGTAGGATTCTGGTAACAAGGTTAATGAAATGCAAGAACACAGGTGGAAGTCCCGAACAGACCACAGCACAGTCAAGGGGGCCCCAGGCTTGCCGCGGCCTCTGCAAGGAACTTTTCAAAGAGCAGAAGATGATGGTGTCTTATCTCAGCTTCCAGATGACTGACCAACTGAGGGTATTCTTTGTGGCCAGTTTCGGTCAGCAGCATTTGAGAGTGTATCTCAGGTCAAAAGTATGGGAATGTGAATTAACCAAGATGGTGGGAGCAGACTCAGATGCAGCGTGGTTGTGACAGGACAATCTGCACACACCGGGCACTTCCAGTGGGGGGTTCTGTAGCTTCCTGACCGTCTGAGTGTGTCCCTCCTGGACACAGACTCACCAGGAGTTAACACGGGCAGAAAGGGGATGTGCAGCCTACTGAGGTTATGTGAGTAACTGGTGAGTATTTGAGAATTCTGTGGTGGGTGGAGATCCCTGCAAGGCAGAATGATCTAAAAAGGCAGCTTAGGATTCAACTTTCCTTAATAAGAACTAGTACTGTGAGAAGATAATGCTGCTGAGAGCTTTTTCTGCTCACATGGAAAGAGTATGTGTGATAGCAACTGTTTTGCATCTGAATAATTCCACAGGGCTTTTGGAGTCCATAAATGCATATCAGTCAATATACCATTTCAGATAGAATTGTATCTGTGTCTCCCTGGAACTTGGAATAACTCCCTTCCATACGATTATTTATATATGTGTAAAGAAATACATAGGTATCTATGTATTTAGTCAGACATGGGACTGAAAAACTAGCCTGAGAGCAAATTGTGAGGGTCCTGGTATACCTACCTGTCTAAGGAATTGGGACTTTTTCTCTTTGGATGATAGAAATGCTTTGGTATGGTGTTTGGATAAGGATTTTATAGATTGAGCTCCATCTGCTTTTTGGAGGCTAAGAGGAAATCATAAACCATAAAATAGGAAGCAGGCAGTTCTGGAAGTCCTCTGTGAGGCCAGGTGGGCCTGTTCCCAGAGTAGCCATGAGCGTTGCTCCAGGGAGTGGGGCTCCGGTGCCCAGGACAGGGGGCACAGGGACAGGAGGGGCTCAGCTCCTGCTTCCTCACGGGTTGTCTGTGACATTCATGCAGCAGGGCTGAACAGAGCTAAGCTCTGGGCTTCCTTTCCTGGCCTCATGGGGTGTCCCTCCTGCAGGTGTCTCCACCTCTAGCAGAAGACAAGAAGACAGGTTTTTAAAAAGAATAAAAATTGAGTCTAGTTTGTTGTACCAAGCAGCACCCCTAATAGTAACTAGCATTTAAATGATACTAGATGGAAGCAAGATGGTCAGACTCTTAATGGAATGCACAGTTAGTTGCCTGTCTCTCTGTGGGGCATGACTTCTATTCAGCAAACAGTTACTTTGACTTCTGCAGAAGGGAAGTGGTAGGAGACAAACAGAATCACAACTGGACTACTTAGGTTTTCTAAACATACTGCTCCGAAGACGATGATGGCAATAATAACTGGAATCTCCTGTATTTGTGATCCACTAGGCAGCTTACAACATGATTGTCACGTGCTCCCATTTAGAGACAGGGAAAGTGAGGCTCCAAGAGCTTATGTGAATTGTCTGGGAGTGCGCGGCCAGTGAGCTGTGGAGCTGTGATTCAAATTTAAACTTTCCAACCCCTAGTCCAGCGTTCTCTACTTTCCACCACACACAGAAAGCAGGCTTGATTTGGATTCTGCATTGGTAAAGTTCTTTTCTAGTAGCTCATTCTGCTCTGCAGGCCTTGAGATATCGCTGACCTCCAATAAGACGGTGGTCAAAAGGCTGAGAAATAACCCAGCTTCCCTAAGCAAAGGTTCAGTCAAGTTGCACACTGCCCCACTCTCATTCTTATTTGCACAGAAAGGATAATATTACAGGGTCATTTTTGTTCCAGTCCACACTTCCGTGTTCATTTGTATACAGAGAAAACAGTGTTAGGGATCTGCAAAGTCCGGGGGAGCATTTCCTTGTTTCATCACTGTTGTTTTTTTTTTTTTCATTAACCTGTTGGTCCACCTGCTCTTCAGACCTTGAGTACAGGAGTGGAACTGTGAGTGGCTTTGAGAAGTGCTGAGGGTACAGACAGGCCTAGGCTGAGTGTTTCCCACAGGGCAAGATGCTCGGATGATATCATTCTGTCAGCCCCTTTGCTTACTGAGAAGGGAAGCTGTTTCAAGGAGACAGAGAGCAAGTGAGAGATTGGTTTTCGCTGGAAGGTAGCAGTATCCTACCTTCAGCAGAAGGGTGTCCAGCCCAACCCCTTTGGAAAGAGACAGCACCCTGCCCAGGCCTGAATTCTGCAGGGAATCAGGCTGGCTCCATTAGTGAGGGGTGGAGGAACGCAGTTCTCAAGGGCGGCTTCGGGAGGGCAAATTCAGAGACGCAGGAGCACAGGCCTGGGCAGGGCAGCCGTATCCCAGTGGGATCAGGTGGACACCCTGCAGAGCCCAGTGGAGCAACAAGAGGCCCAGAACCATGGAAACATGAAACAAAGACCTTCCTGGAGGGCTCCCTGGGGAGGGTTTGAGAGGATGCTACCTAGACAAAAGGGATGACCACACAGCAGAAGTTTTGACCTCAGTCATACTCACAGGCTATGATGCTTCTAAATAATGCAAACTGCACCACTGTATAACATCAAGTCACCTGGTAGTGGCGTGGACCCAGCCCAGGTACGCGGGTGCCTATGAATTGCCGAGTGCAGTCACTGGGGCCTGGGATGCCCTTGCCTTCTGAGTCTGAGTTACTTACTGTTACTTGAAAGTCAAGGAAAACAGGGAGAACAATTTATCATTTGTTAGGACTTCATCCTTACCAGCAGATCCGGTCCTGCAGCAATACCCCGCAACCCAGCCCCTCCAGCCTGTGTCAGTTTTTTCCTCTCCTTCTTGTGATATTTAATGATCACAAGGAATTTTTGCAGAAATGGGTTGATTTAGAATTGTGCTGAGAAACGCCCCATAACTTAATGGTTCCAGTGAGTCTAAGAGAGGATTTTAACTGGTCTGTGTCTAACTAAACAGAACTGAAACTGAGGTGATAGCTGTGATTAAGCATTATTCATTTTAGCCATATGTGTACTTGGCTCTTTTTAAGAACTGACACCTTCCTGAGTTATTAAAGCCATTACTGCTAACATAAGAGTAATTTCTGAACTTTGCAGAAATTCTGAATGATGCCTTGAATATCTTCTGATTCTCTCTCTCTTTTTTTTTTTGTAAGATGCTCTAGTGTCAAGTCATCATTTCCAGAGTTAAGTTCCTGACCTTGTAGGTTGTCTAGCTGCCTGCTTGAGGTCCTTGCAGGCCAAGGAGTCAGGTGTGAAGTGTGGCCGAGCCTTCGGGGCAGTGTCTGTCATCACATGGCCTTTGCTGGTGGCTTGGAGAGCTCGCAGCGTGGCCCCAGGCCACGGGCAGTGTTTACCCTGCGGTGGCACGCTGTGCTCCCAGGGTGGATGGCTGCCTACGAGAGTGCACTGCCAGTTCCAAAGTAAATGGCTAGCAGCACCATTTCTTGCCACTCAGCACAGGGTGGCTGGCCCTTGCTTCTCCCCGCCAGGTCATTCCCCGGCATTTCCCATCACCCACAGCTAGCCTCACTTCCTCTCCTCCAAACCTTTTAAATGCAAATGGCTGGGAGGATGCTCAGGCCGGGGACAGTGGGCACGGCCTGTACTGTTGTCACCTTCTGTTACCCAGGTGCACGGCCCTGGATTTCAATCAGTGCCCCATGTTCCTGGCACACAAAGGCCCTCAGTGTGGTCTGCGGGGCCGGGCCAGCTTCTGCTTGTCAGTGCCCTGTTGGCAAGGTACTTTCGCAGTTCAGGAGGTGGCTGACAGCCCCTGGGTGAGGCTGGAGATGCCCTTTTGTTCCTTACCACTGGGACCTGGAAACAGTTGTCAGCTGACAAGCTCATCATGCAGTGTGCCCACATGGCTCTGCAGCCCTCGCCAGAGGAGTAACATGACCTGCTCTTTCCTGAAGCCTTTCTCATTCTAGGAGTTCCTGCGAGAAGCTCATGGGGGTGATCAGTGAATGTATGTTGAGTGAATTGGATAATTGGAAAAGCTTCTGGATCACTTATGCATTTATAAAAATTCTCTATGTGGCCGTAAAGCTGACTTAAGTACAAATCTATCCCTGAGCCAAGAAACCTTTCCTTATTTGTTGCTCCAGCGCAGCACAGGGCTGTTTGGAAGGCTGGGTGGGATAAGCCATATGGCAGAGCGCTGCAGGGTCAGGTGAAGTTGGGGAAGCTGGCAGGTCACATTTCTTTTCAACAGTTGCCATGTGCCAGGCCCAAATGCATTAGTTCCCTTCACTGGCACAGCAGCATCCTAAAGAGCAAATACTGCTCTGCTGCAGTGGTGATGAAATTGAAGCTCAGAGAGGGGAAGTCACCTGCCTGAGGTCACACAGGCAGTAAAGGGCAGAGCCAGAGTTAGGAATTATATCAAAGCTCCTGCTAGTCCCACCATCCCACAGCAGGTGGCTGCTGGGCACAGGGTATATCTGTGTTTGACCTGCAGTGCTAGATTCTTACAGCAGACAAAGAGGACAGGGAATATCCCAGGCCCTTCACCTAGGGTTAGGTTATCAGGTCATGACCCCGTGAATAGAGTCAGCTAGACCCACAGAGAAGCTCTCACCACTTGAATGACCTTGATGTCACCATTTGAATTGCCACCATGCGCCAGCCTTCACGGAGCACCAGTGGCGTTTGTCTCCATATGACCAGTGCTGAATTTCATTCGGTTCATTCCCCATTACTAGATGGTCTTCGCTTGATGGCTGGTGCTGCCCATTCTGTCAAAGGTCAGATGGATTTTTGACTTTTATCTCTAAATTGTGAAATGCGAGTTGGCATTAAAGAGACATTAAGTCCCTCCTCTAAATGTGTGTTAAATTCACTGCAAGGTGAGAAGTGACTTCATTTTATAAATTATGGGGCAATGGATTTAAACAACAGAATGGATGGGAGGATGGTGTGAAATGAGTCGCAAATTAATTGTACAGTTAAGACTTAACTTCTGTCTTATCTTCTCTGCAGCCATTTCCTTCCTTTAAACATTTGCCCTGGCTGAGCAGTCTATGCTCTGTTCCCCTTCCTGACCATGGGCTGGGCTGCTCCTGGGAAGCCCAGCATAGGAGCTCCTACCCCGTACAAACTGTGTAGTGGGCACAGCGTGTCTTGCCCCGGAATGCTTGATGCTCAGGGTCCTGGTACCCCTCCAAGTCTCTTGGGATGGGGCAGCTCTGGAATCCAAACAGAACCCCATCTCAGGAGAGCTGCACTGTGACACGGTCTAAGGTGTAGGTCTAAAGAGACCAAGCTCTTCTGTGCAGTTTCCTGCCCTTGTCAGAGGTTATGAAAAAGCTGGGAGGGAGGAAGAATCTTCCAGTCTCCTAAAGTTACACTCTAATACTGACCTTATTTACTTGGGCTTCTACCTGTCAAATCTCTTCAGTTCAGGTCGATAGCATTTATTTTTTAAGCCCTCGTATGTGCTGGACACTAGGCAAAAAGCTAGGGTTACAAAGATGTGGGATATCAAAGTCTCAGCTTTTCAGGGAGAGAAAACAGATTTGTAGCTAAAGAAATCATGACACTATTATGGATAGTAAGCGTCACTATGAGATGCAAACCAGAGGGCTGTGTTGGCCTATAGTGTCTAAGCAGGTATCCCAGAGGCAGTGGCATTTAGAAGATGAATAGGACTTTAAGCAAAGAATGTGGGGAACTGTCATTTAAACAGAGGCAATAACAAAACCTAACGTAGCTGCGCCCAAGGGGCGTGCATTCTATAGTAGGACATGCACATGAGCTGCACACACACATACACGTTTATCATTCTAAAAGACAGAACATGACCCTCAGTTAGGGATACAGGTTTACAGGGGGCTGCACACTGGACCGGAGGGTACAATGCTTATCATTCAAAGCAGGAAGAGGACCACGCCAAGTGATGCACCTTTCAGAGGCCTGCACCCCTGCCCTCGCCATATCCTCCCCACCTGGACTAACACTGGTTTTCTGGACTGCTTATGTTCATTAATAATCTCCTTCGAAATGCCCAGAAGACACAAAACTCCAAATAAGTAGGGATGGTGGAGTAAAACTAATGAATAATGTTGTCTGTATACACAACAGTGCGGATTCCCAAGAGAAAGACTCTTTATTGTTTTACTTATTTCTGAAGCCTAAAGTAATAGCATGAGAAAACTGAGGCAGTCTCTTGGAGTTTATGGCTTGGGATCAGATCAACCATCAGATTATTGACCATCAAATGTTTCCTGTGGCCATGGGTATACAAAGGACAACGCTCTATCCAGGAGCTTATGAGTAGGTTCACAGGTAAAGATGTAAACACACAAAAAGGTAAATAGTAGTACAGGTATAAACTGATGAATTAGACTGAATGTTTATGTCCCCCTAAAATTCATATGTGGAAACCTATTCCCCCCAATGTGATGGTATTTCAGGTGGGGCTTGGGGAGGTGATTTGGTCATGAAGGCAGAGCCCTGAAGGACGGATTGGTGTCCTTATAAAAGAGACCCTGGACAGCTCCCTTGCCCCTTCCACCACCTGAGGACACGACTCAAGGATCCTGGAAGCAGGCTCTCACCAGACACCAAATCCATTGGCGCCTTGATCTTGAACTTCCCAGCTTCCAGAACTGTGAGAATGAATTTCTGTTGTTTATAGCACCCAGTTCATGGTATTTTGTGAGAGCAGCTCAAACAGACTAAGACACTGAGATCTCACAAGATGACATATGCGTGAGTATCGGGTGAGTGGTAGAATCTCCTCTGAAAGGAACGAAGGGGACAGCTGGGTTTGACGATTTCCTCTGACCCTGTTTTCAGATCCATCATTGTGTGGATCTGACATTAAGTGTTTTGAGGTCAGTTTTATCACCCAAGCAGGTTTTCTTCTCTTCCTCTGATTGCATTAACATCGGAAAATAATCCAAAAGAGCAACAGTTATGTGGAATTAAAGGTCTGTTATCTGCAATAATAGCTAGGTTATGTTATCTGCATCTTCTATGCAGGACACATTATGTTGGGAATGTTAACTAGTGAATTTATGGAGAATATTGAAACTTGTCTACTTCCAGATAGGCTTGGTTCTTAGGGTCATTCTTGTTTTTATATTTTATTTTACTATGGCAAGAGCACTTAACACATTTGTAAGTGCATAATTCATATTGTTGACTGTAAGTACAATGTTGTACAGCAGATTTCCATAACTATTCATCTGCTCAGCTGAAACTTTATGCCTATTGATTAGCAATTTCCCTCTCTGCCACAGCCCCTGAAAACCACAATTCCACTTAGATTTTTAAGGTTGTTCTTAAATCTAGTTGTTTGCAAGTTCAAAGTCTCTCCAGCAAGCAGCACTGGACACTTTCTCCCCACTCTCAATATTTGTTTCATTAGAAATTCTGTCTCTTTCTGCTGGGACCTTCAGTACCCTTAATATGTTCATTCAATTACATCAGATCTGATGGGGTTAATACTATTTGCAAACTCCCTAAAAAACAATTAGCCTTACTCTCTCCACTGAGAAAGGTCAAGAGGGAACTTGGTCTTAGCATAATGCTTGGCTTTCCCAAATGACTGTGACTTCATGTGCAAGGTTCAAAGGGAGATAGGGAAACTCAGCACTTGGGGTCACTTAGAACTTAGGAAATTAAGACCTTACCTCCCCAAGCCCTCTATCCTCCAACTTCAAATTCAGTGATAAGGGAAGGGTTTAGCTCCCTTACCTGACACTTATTGGAAGCGATGGATAACATGTTGTCCTTGATCTTATTACACTTGCAGGCATTTATGAAACTACTATGGTATACTGAGTAGCATGGACTGGGCTCTCTGTGCATTGCTGTGCCATAACCCAGGGACAAGCAGTGACAGCTGCCACCTCCTTTCCTGCCCTTCTCCAACTACGGAATCCATGGATATTATGATAGTCTCAGAAGTCTGCTGTAAATCTGGTTGAACTCTGTGAGCTGGTGAAGGAGGGACTGAGAAGAGCCAGTTGGCTACCTCCCCCACGTGTTGTTTATGGTGTGTCTCGGGCTGCAGCTCTGAGCCAGTGACTGAACCTGCCCTAGGGGTCTGCACATGTGACCCCTGCAGAACCTCAGATAAATGATCACCTCTGCTGCTCAGAACTCTCTCTGCCTCTCCTTTATGTTTGGCTGTGATGAATGCTGGGAGTGGCTCACTTAAGTAGGTGACCTGGCTAGACAAACCCACCGAATTCTTGGGCTGATGTTACAATTACCCTCTTGATAAGATCCAGAACCCACAAGGTCAGTCTTTTGGGGGCAAGGAAATCAATTATCATTCCCGGCACTACCCACTGTGGTCAGGAAGTTGGGTGTTGGGCACAACCAGACCTAGGGGCCCTGCTTTGCTTGCGAACCAGATGTCTGGTCCTGAGAGGATAGGGAGCCTTGGGGAGAGGAAGGTGGCACTGCTGGTTGGGGCCTACAGCCCACACATCAGCGGAGGCCATATGATAGGACCAGCAAAACAGTAGACAGGTAGAAGAGGGAAGAGGGCCAGGAGACTTGGTACATGACTGCCTGTTCTCTCATCCCCATGGGCCAGAGTTTCTCTAATTGTAGTCTTTGGACTATCAACAAAATAATCGTGTGGAGGATGCGTTAAAGATGTAGGGTCGTGAGCCTTAAACTCTAATCTGGGATGGGGTCTGCATTTATCAAGCTCCTCGGGTGATTCTGTCCAGTGCAAAATTCGAGAGCCATTGTTTCAGCTGCGGCCTTCTGTCCCCTGCAGGCTGCCCCTGGTGGGCTCAGGACGACGCTGGGCAGTGGCCGAATGCCAGGAGTGGCCCCTGAGTCTGTCCCCAGCAGCTCCGCCTGTTCCCAGCTCTGCACCCTCACAGCCCATCTGGCTGGCTCGAAGCCACCTGATACCTCAGGGCATCCGAAGCACAATTCCTCATCTGTTCCTCCGAGCCCAGCGTCCCTCCCTGCCATGCGCATTCCTTGTCCTCAACAACCAGGCTCACAGCTCTGAAATACCCTTAAATCCTTCTGGTCCTTCTCCCTCTCTCCCCCTAACCTCTACGGGCTTCTTGATTGTATGGAGTTCCTCCTGCTTCATTTCCTGCAGCCAAATTTAGGGCCTCCTCCTTGAATGCTGATGGGGCTGGAGGACAACCATCCTGGCCCGCCTGGGACTGAGGAATGTAGGATTTCCCATGCGGCCACCAAGAAGGCCCTGGGAAAGTCGGGGCACGCTGGTCACCCTATGCCTGGATTGCGGCCGCATGCAGTCACCAGCCCGGCCTCTGAGACCACCATCTCTCCGGCGCCATCTCCAGCTCAGTTTCCCCAGGAGTGATTGTTCCTGACCCCTCAAATCTTCAACCTTCGAGGACTGAGTTTGCTTTCTAATGAGTTTAATTTCTGTGGCATTGAGGCCCCCAGCAATCTGGCCCTACCTGCCTGGCTGCTGTTGTCTTCCCTTCGCCCCACACATAGCCTTTATTCAGCTGTGTCGCCGCTTCCCACGGGACTGTCTCACTCTGGCCTTTGTCTATGTTGCTTTCTGGCTGCCACCTCTGTCTTGGCCCATTCTTAGCCTTTTGAACTCTTAGCCATCAGCTAAGTCTCAGCTCACATACCACCACCTCTGAGATGTCACAGGTCTGGTCACCCACCAGAGCAATGTCCACCCTCCCCACTCTTATTGTGACTCCCTAAGAGCATCCTGTCACATTTGTCACACACCGCATTGATGTAAACCTATGTGTTACCTATTTGTCCCCCTTCTTGACACTAAATCCCTCAAAGACAGAGATCTTACCCATTTTTTAGATTCTTCGAAGCTCATCAAATTGTGTGCATGGTAGGTGATTAGAAAGCATACATTCAGGTTGAAGGAACAAAGAGGTTTTAGTAGACTGAGAATGTCTGCCTGTGAAGGAGGATGGCACCAGGGCCACACATTACTGTGGGGATGGCCCTGAGCCAGGAACACATGTCCAAGTCACTGTGACTTACAACATGCACACGTGCCACTTATGATTCCCTGAAATAAGGAATGATAGTTGCAAACATCGATTGTGCACATATTCTGTTCCAGGTACTACGTCTGCCAGGCACAGCAATCCCACAGGACAGTCCAGGTGGGCCTGGAAGGCGCACTGACTGGATTTGGAACCCAGCTGCACCACTTACGAGCTGGTGTCTTTGGGCAAGCTGCTTAACTTGTGTACCTCAGTTTCTCAATTTGCAAAATGAGGGTAAAAATAGTAGCTACTTCAATGGGGTATTGCAAGGAATATTATACTTCATTGAATCCAAGATGTCATCCATTGTGAGGTACACTGTAACCCTGTATCACTATAGAAAAATCTCTCTCAATTAAACTCTGTATACCATAAACTGTTGGATGCAGCTTGATTCCACATATGTTCAAATGTGTCATAACATGAGTCTTGTAATCACTGAACTGTTGTAAATGGTTTAAATGAATGATGGTAGTATTATGGGCTGAACTATGTCCTCCCAAATTCATATGTGGAAGTGCTAACCCCCAATATCTCAGAATATGACTATATTTGGAGATAAGGTCTTTAAAGGGGTGATTGCATAAAATTAGGTCATATGGGAGGGCCTTAATCCAATCTGACTGGAGTCCGTATAAGAGGGGGAGATTAGGACACAGACACACACAGAGGGGTGACCGAGGGAGCCCACAGGGAGATGGAGGCCATCTGCCAGCCAAAGAGAGAGGCCTCTGAGGAATCACTCTTGCTGACACTTTGATATTGGACTTGTAGCCTCCAGAGCTGTGAGGAAATAAAATCCATTTGTTTAAGTCACCCGCTCTGTGGTCCTCCCTTATGCCAGGCTGAGCCCTCAGTGAAGCTTTCTAAGACCACAGGACAAGCACCTGAGATATGGGACAGCCCTAGTGTAGCAGAAGACCTTCCAGTCCAACCCCAGCTGGTCCCTTCTATTTGATTAGCCCAGAACCATGTTAGACCTTCCCTTCCCCTTGGGTCTCCATCCATCAAGAAGTCAGCTGTTCACTCACATAGGAGCTATAAATGAACGGCACCATTAGCACTTGACCTCTTCGCTTCGTTTTTTAAAAATCCATTTATGAGGGCATAAGGGGAAAGCATGAGGAATTTCTGAATATCAACACACTATCAGCAGGATGCTGACTGAAGTACGTGGCCCATGCTAAGCTCAGTCCGTCTTTAGCAAAACTGACAGTGGGTACTTGACGTTAAAAGGGTTTATGGCAGCAGACTATCTAGATTAATTAGATCCACTAACAGGACAGATACCCCTTCCCATTTGTTTTTCCAGAGTGGTTTGACATTTGTGCATCCTATGAAGAAAGATCATTGAGACTGAAATGTGGCTGCTAAGAGGCTTCAGCTCTTCATGTTTGCTAATCTCCTGTATGGTGAAACCTGGCACCCGGACAAACCCTCATTCACGCCAGAACAAAGCCCTGGTTATGTGTGTTGGAATTCCTTGGAGAAAATGTCTTGCTGGCCGTTGGGGAGTGTGTGGATGCTGGAAGCACTTCACCAAGTGTTGCTCAATGTCCTGGGAAGACAGTCTGCTGGCATCTGACACTCACCCTAGACAAGGCTGCAGTTCTCTGGGGCATGTGGGTCTGGGAAGGACAGAAGGAGCTCGGGTTGGGGTGCGGCAGGTGTGCAGATGGGGTTAGGTGTGCTCTCTGTAGTTGCCCCAGGCCCGGCTGAGCCAGTTCCAGACTGCCCACTTTCTCGGCCTACTGAGTCTATGTAAAGTTGGGCTTGTCACCAGTGCTGTCACGTCTCCTGAGTGGGACCAGATCTTCCTGCCCTTTGGTTTATACAGCCTAGTTACTCGGGTTCCCTCAGCTGTGACTTAGAGAAGTAGAGGGTGGGGGAATAGAGGGAAGCTTTCTGATCAACATGGAAGGTGTGGAATGGTTAGGTGGGGGGCTGTGGGTGTAGGATGGAAATGAAATCAACTGGCGCCCCCAGTCTTTGCAGACAAACTCCAACTGATGGGATTGAGTGAGGGACCTCAGGGTGCAGAGGAAGGCGGCCGTGGCAGTGCGATGACAGCAAACTGAGCACCAGCAGAGCAGCACAGAGAATGGACTGAGCCAGCAGGGCCTCTCATTGTGGGCCCCCACTCCACCCACCTCTCAGCAGCATCAGCACCACAGGGATAAAAATGCAAATTCTAAGCCCCACCCCAGACCTATGGACTCATGCAGCCTGGGGGTAGAGCCCAGCCACCTGTGCTCAAACAAGTCCTCCTGGCGATTCTGCTGCATGCCAGAACTTGTTAGGAGCACTTCTGGAAGGATGAGGGGACTATCCTGGTAGCACTGGGCTGGGCGAGGGCAGGGAAGGAGGAGGGGGTGGTGAATGGACTAAAAAGTAGAGTTCTACTCCGTAAAAAGCGGAAGTGCTGAGGGCTGCCAGGGTCAAAGAAGAACGTGAGTTAAGGCTGCAGCAGTTCAAGGCTGCCTGGATTCTGAGTTAGCACAGGCCTACCCCAGACATCAAGTGCAAATTACAAGGAGAGACTTAGCTAACAAGGGTAAAAGAACAGATGTGGATGCAAATTCCTCTTAGAAATCAGAAAAGAGGAATTACATTGCTAAGGTTCCCTTGCAGGGCCTGGGTAGGGGGGGTGGTTCTTTTATTATCTTTTTACTCTACTCATCTGGAGTGGGTTGACTAGTGGCGACCCAAAAGGTATGTCCACGTCCTAACCCCCAGAACCTGCGAATGTGACTTTATTTGGAAAACGGATCTTTTGCAAATATAATCAAATTAAGGATCTCAAGAGAGGATCATCCTAGATATTTAGGTGAGACCCAAATGCAATGAAACCATCTTTATAAGACACAGAAGAGGAGATGGACACGCAGAAAAGTCAATGAGAAGAAAGTAGAGATTGGAGCCACACAGCCGTAAGCCAGGGAGTGCTGGGGTTTGCAGAGGCTGGAGGAGGCACAGAAGCCTCCTCCCTTACAGCCTTTGGAGGGTGGGTGGCTCTGCGGACACCTTGATTTGGGAACTGTGAGAAAATACATTTCTGTTGTTTTAAGCCACCAAATTTGTGCAATTTGTTACAGCAGTTCTAGGAAATAAATACACCTGGCCCTAAGGAAATACAGCATGCCACAGGATGTGGAGTCAGAGGATCTATGTCTCAAATTTTTAAAAATGTATTCCCTTGGATGGGGTAGGAGCTCCCTAACTCACATGGGTCCCCACCTGGCTTGCACCTCTCAGACCTATCCATCCCCTGTGAGCGTCTGCGTGTGTGTCCTGTGGGTTAGATGCTCTGTCAAGGCTTCTCCATCTTTGACACCCTAGCACCCTAGCGAGGTGATGGGAGTGGCGGGTTGGTAACCCAAATCTTTGGAGAGCATTGGAGATGATGCGATCCACCATTCTTTGGATAGCTTGGTTGATTTACCATGGAGAGTGAAGGAAATTCCTTCTTAAAATGGAGCATGATGCCTTTTCAGAACAGGGCCTGCAGTGTTTTTTTATGAGACACTGAAAAGGATTGTCTCCTGGCAGGGGCTTAGTCATTCCTTCCAGAGGGTAGAAGGGTGTGACTCAGGGAAACTGTGTCAGGTAATCGTGGATGAGAAGGGCCTTTCTTGCAGAACAGAAGAAATAAACACAGGCTGGCAGTGGGGAGTTACATCTTCGCGTCACTGTTACCCAAGTGTGAGGCGTGCATGGTTATTAAAGATTGCCCTCAAGTTCTCCACCGAAAAATATATGAAACCCGAGGTCAGTCTTTCCTGGAGGCTGTGTGTTTTTCCAGCAAATCACTAGCATTAACTAGTCCCTCAGAGAACCACGCATTAGATGGACCAATACCACTCCATTCCAAGGCCATTTACTTCCTGGACCACCAGAAAACTCTCCAGTTAATAGCACTTGGCTGCTAATAAGTTCCCAAGCTACACTTCTGATGCTGGCTGGCATTCTGGGGCCCCCCTGTGCTGTGATTTCCATCGGCTCAGTCTGCCTCTCTGCTAGATGTTAGTGAGAGGGAGCGTGGGGTAGGTGCTTATAGGCCAAGCTTCCTCTTTGGCTTTTCCGCTCGGGTGCTGAGAGATGGCTCCAAGCAGGACGAGGTCAGCCTGTGAGGGATGAGCTTGGAGTTCCTTCTGGTTCGTCTCAGGGATGTCGCTGCTGGCAGACATGCAAACAGGGTCCAGGCAGCCACTTCCTCCTCAGGGTCCTCACCCCTTCGTCTTGTACATAAGGAGCCCCGATATGAGGATGGTAACTTAGGGGAGTCACAAAAGACCCTCCTGATCATACAGCTCATGAGTGATGCAGGTGGGATTCAAACAGTTCCTTCCATTACATACGCATTGCACTCCACACACTTCCTCTAATCAGGGGGGAGGCAACAGGGGATGAGGAAGTGAGGCTGATACCAGGAAACAGCAACAAGAAGGGAGATTGGGAAACGGAAACTAGACTTCCTTCTTGCATTACTTAGTGGTTCACCTTTAAGGGACAAACCAGCAGGTGGGGGAGGCTGCCGACTCAAGGGATATCAGTCAATGTGCACAGGAGGTGGTCTTGCAGAGGAAGGGGAGAAGGGGTCTGCTGACGTTCAGTGAGGAAGGGAAGGGTCAAGGTCAACGACGGCTGGCATGCCCTCCTGGGCACAGGTCTGCCCGCTCAGGGCTGGGAGTCACAGCACAGCACTAGATGTTTCCTCCCTCCTTCCCTCTCTTCATGGAGGAAGCGCGGGGCTGTGGACCCATCACCCTTAGGGAGTGTGTCCCCCCTCATTAGCTCCCCTCTGCTCCCCCATTCCAGCCCAGTCAGCCTTTCAGGGTGCAAGGAGGCTGGATGAGTTGGGCATAGCTAAGAGCAGGTGAGTCACCTCCCCAGGTTGATGTGGGGAGAAAGGAATGGGTAGCTGTGCTGATAGGAAAAATGTGACATTCAAGCAAAGTACAGCTGAATCAAGCGTTAGTCACTGAACCCCGGGGAGAAGGAAGTCTCTCTGAGAGGGGCCGCCGTGGTGGTGGAGGGGTTGTAGGTGGGGATTCGAGTAGGGACGAGAGGTCTGAGAGAGCGTGGGGAGCTCCTGCTCTGGGGGCCTTACTGAGAATAGGCTCAGAGCGAGCTGTGATCGCTGAATTCACGGAAGATCACCGGTGTGTGTCAGTTCCAGCGACAGAGCTGCTGTCCCGTGGCTGGGTTACATACTGTTGCCTTTGAAGAGGATACGTGGGAAGATAACGTGGGAGTTTGCAGCTAGGGGAGTGGCATTAGGCTCCATGGAAGAAGGAGCAGCTATTTTTCTGGAACCTTTTTCAAAGAGGCCATACGTACTCTCTGTGCCTAATGGTCAAGGGTCAGTCTGGAGGT